CCTTTCCAGATTCCATCTCATTTTTCCCAGAAATCTTGACCCATTTATTATCTTCTCTTCTTTCAGATTATAATCTAAACAAATAGCACATCAACAGAAATCCTGTGTATTATTTTTCAAGGATAGTGACTTTTTGGATACAGGATGTGAGTGCCTGAAAGAGCAGGTGGATAGTGTATATGTGAAGCACTCATGATAAGAATAAGCACTGAAGGTGAAGGTTTTACCTAGAAATACTCAACATTTCAACATTAGGAATTTGGGATGCAGCTCAGTTGGTTGAGTACCAGCCTACATGAAGTCTTTTGTTTGATCACAAAGAGTGCATAAACCAAACTGGGTGTGGTGGCACATTCTTGAAATCTTAGCATTCAGGAAGTAGAGGCAGGACATTAATTGTTCAAGACCGTCATTGACTATGGTGCGTTCGGAGCCACTCTGACCTACTTGAGACTTGGCTTCCGAAATAAACAAATACACAGAACATTCTAAAGCTAATACAAAATAATGAGGTCCCATTTTGGTCAGGCATCTTGACTCCATAACTCTAGTTCTCATTACAGATCTAGACTGGGAGACAAAGTGATTTGTGTTTTGAGGGTTTTCCTGGGATGCAGGCATTTCAAGGTAAAATTACAACATCTGGATATATGGGTATCCTGAGGTAACTCACTTTCTGCATCCAAATTTTATTATAAACGAGGTTATTAAAACTAAAGCTCAAAAAGTATGGAAGGCTATGCTGGAGATGTAGTATGGTTGGTAGAGTGCTAGCCTAGTATGTGTGAAGTCTGAATTTTGATCCCCAGAATATAGTAAACTAGGATAGTGACACATGCACTCAGGAGGCAAGACAAGAGAATCAGAAGTTCAAAGCCCTCCTTGGCTACATAGAAAATTTGAAGCCAGTCTGGAATATAGGAGAACTTGTCAGGGGGATGGGGAAAGAAAGGAAGGAGGGAGGGACAGAAGGAGGGAGGAAGGAAAGAGAGAGAGAGAGAGAGAGAGAGAGAGAGAGAGAGAGAGAGAGAGAGAGAGAGAGAGACTGCGGAGAACTAGTTATGTCATATTACCTGTGAGAACAGAAAGTATGTAATTTTTTTCCCTGTGAAAGAAGTTTGCCATTTTCAGTGTGGAAGAAGAGCACTGATCACTACTTACTCTTCCTGTAAGTAAAGCAAGACATCAAACTCTATTTGAGGGATGACCCCTTTTCAGAAATTACAGGCTCTGAATGTCTTGCCAGCCCATCATCACTGTCCATCTGCTAATTCTGTGCACATTGAAGCGGCAGCTGACATTGCAGAGATGCTACAGTAGATAATAAGATGGGGTACATTTCATCTTTGCATGCTTAAAACAAATCCCTGTGATGAGCAGCAGCAGCTCCTGGGACGACAGGGATCTCAGGTGTCATTAACATAAAATGCCAAATGGATTTGCAGATTGGGAGCAAATAGACTTGGTATAAAAGAAAAAGCTCTCAAGGTAGGTGTAGTATCCATTGTGGTCCTTTGCAGTCGCTGAGCTGTCAGAACTATCAAAGCCATAGGCACACACAGAGATACCTCCAAATCACAGCCACACATGCAGGCCTGAATATAAATGCAAGCATTTGTGCTTCTCAATTCTGCAGGCCTAGCTATGCCACTGGGATGGTTCAGTTTCTTTATCCTAGAAAACAAACAGCTACCAAAGAAAACTTGCCCTAAACTAACAGCTCCCTAACTTCTATATTATTTTAACTGTACACAACTCTTCTTCACATGCAGGTCACAAATAATCTAGTATGCCTTCTCCTCCCTTATCCCTGGCTAGTAGCCTAAAGAATAATTGGTAATCCTTTTCTAATTTTTTTGATTAATTCTTTTCTGTTCCATCTCACTGCCTCCACTATGAAGTGTGCTTAAATCAAATGAACCTCAAAGTGGATCACAGCCTCTTCTCAGTGGTCCCTGGCCAAAGTTCTACTCTCTTCAATTCACCTTGCATATTGGTACCTAACTATTTTTCATAGGCAGTATAGATTGCATAAGGCACGAAAACAATGGACATAGTCACAGTTGTGCTGTGCATCCCTAACCATTGCAGATGTGAATGAAGTGATGGATAGAGTCATGTGTGGGAATGGATATAGCTGTGGGTATAGTCACATGTTACACGGGAAGACATAGATAGGTACAGGATTATGCAGCTAATTTTCCCTGAAAACACAGATGTTAGATATCATTTCATTTGATTATCAAAATAATCCTGGAGAGGACTCTGATGATGCATGACAATGATGTCCATGATGATGATAACCTTGGAAAAGCAGGTTAAATGTATTTGATTTTTCCATGTAGGAATAGTGACTCTAAATGAGGTCTCCAAATCCCATACATCGTGAAAGAACTAGACATTGGAACTATGATTTCTTAATCAAAACTTGGGTGATTTCTAGCTGCCATACAGAATTTTACTTTTTCTATTTTTGCAAACTATGGTTCAGAATTGTGTTTCTGTTGTGTGGTAACCTATGAACTTTTTGTGAAGATGTCGCCCCTGAACTTGGTCTCCATGGAGCTGAGGGAAAGAAGAGGGAGAGAGAACTGCTGGATTGTTGGCTGCTGCATACATAACAACACACACACTTTGTTTAAATAAACAGGAATGCTTTGAAAGAAACTTAGATCGTTTCATCATAGTCACTGTCACAGAAAAAATAAAATCTGCACTGTTGATAAGAATCCAGGTCATGGCAAGAAAATCACAGAGCTATTAAAGTGTCTTCAGGCTTTTGGATGCCTTGACTTAAGAAAAACTAATTGAAATGCAGCAAATATGCCAAGATCAAGTCTGGCAGGTTCTTCCTTTACACTGCTATTGGCATTAAAAATTAGCTGTTGCTATGTAGCCAATGATAACCTTGAACTTCTGATCTCCCCACCTCTTCTTCCTGAGAGTTGAAATTAGGGGCATGAGCTCCCACACCTTGACCTTCTTGCATGCTTAGGCAAACACTGTTACCAAGTTAGCTACATTCCTAGCCACTCAAGTCAAAATATTTTATAGCGAAATCAGGATAAATGAATGACTAAAGATCTTCAATTTCTAGTGAGCTCTAAGAGAGAGATTATAAGCAACTAGAAACTAATGTCTAAAGAAGAGTTCAGATCATGGAGACTGAAATATTGCAAGAAGGAGCCTAAGCCTTTTCATCTCCAAGATTCATTGTAATAGGGCAGTGGCTTCAAGACAGAAAATGTGTCTGCTTCTATATTTAAATGTCAGAGCATGAGTTTTTTCTATATTGTTTACTGAATATCAATTCTGACACAGTTCTTTATATAATTTAAATTTTCATATATTTTGAGAATTTAATATATGAGTTAGGTATTTCCATCATATTCACTCCTCTCTCCTTTTCACTTCTCCCATTTCCTCTCATATTCCTTCCAAATTCGTAACCTCTTTTTTATTATCATTATTTTTACACACACACACACACACACACACACACACACACACACTACACACACACACACACCTTACTGAGTCCATTTAGTTTGCTCATATGTACTAGGATTTAGGACTGACCACTTTAGATTGATTAAATCATGGAGAGCCTTACCCCTAGAAAGAACTGATTAACCGATTTCCCCTCTCTTATGCCTATTGATTAATGGTAGCCAATCATCTAGAGATGGAACCTTGTAAAACTTGCACACATACCACCATCCAAGTTAGCTTGTTGACAAGTATCATTACACATTCTTATGTGGTTGGCTGACATATTTTGTTTTGGAATTTTGATGGCACTAAAGATTATTCTTGCCCTCAGGAAGCCCACATTTCTTCCAGACTAATGAGGAGGACAAAATAAATAAAAATAATATTAATACAAATTTCTCAAAAATGGTTCTGTAAGGACTCTGACTAAGGGTAGAGCAAAAATGAATGGAATTCCTTAGCTTGGGAATGTATAAAACTTTGGGTGCTGGGCTGACCCGCTGAAAGTGAAATATGTGGGAATTGATAGATTAAATATGGGAGCTTAGTCAAATGTGTATCAGGCATACTTGCACAGAAGAAGCTAAGCAGTTCCATTGTGGTGGAGATTGGAAGGTACTAGTAGGAGGGATTTACTTGTGGCCGTTCTGGTGATGGAGATGTTGTGTTGACCCCCTCAACCTGTGGCACCTTGCTTGTTTACTGTGTAGGGTAAATGATATCATACCAAAACCATCAGGGACATGTCCTCTGGATGGGCTGCTTCTGGTAAACTTTCCAGTTGTCTTTGGCTCATAAGATGACTCTACCTGGAAGCTTTGCCTCCTGGTTCAGAAGTTGAGTCACTTTTGAAACTAACATGGTAGCTTTGATTATGAATGTACCCAGAGAATATGTGACCCTGAGCTCCTTCTAGTTCTGATAGCTTTCAGGAATTTCCCATGGCTAGGGAGAGAAACAATGAAACAGAGAAGGGGCATGTAGGCTATAGGCAAAGAGACATGGGTGTAAAGCCTTTGGTTACATATCTTGGGTCACTCATTTAGTTGATTTTAGGCTCCAGTTTCTTCACTGAGATGCAATAGTATTGAGTTTCACAAATTTACTGCGTCAGCTAGAAATATTGTATTTCACCATACCCAGTGTGCTATCCTGAGTTTGAATTAATTGTTTGTAGAACTGACAGACCTAGAGAGTCACACATTGAATTTGTTTTTAATTGGTATATACAGAGGGAAATTGTGTTTCCCAAATTTGTCTTAAAATTCTATTAACCCAGTATTAAGTCGAGTGCAGTTTCTGGTTCTTTTAGCAGCTGTAAATAACTAAGCCACTCTGGACACTTAAAGGACAGATCTGCAGCTTCCTGGACATCTGGAGCTGATGGCAACTGGGCAGGAGTCAGAGAGAAGTTGGATTCATTAGTTTGTTTGTCTGCTGGGGTTTTATTCTATAAAGCTATTTTTCTCCTAAATGTCTATTTCTTTGCTTATTGTTGTTTCCCACAGTCACAGATGCTCACTGAGGGGCGAGGATCTCAATAGACAGTGGCTTCTTCCCCAAGCTCATCTTCAGCCAACCATCTACCATGCCAAAGGTCTCCTACACTATCTGAGCAGCATTGGCCGGGGGCCTGTGGTGAGTCACTTCCTTCTTTTCATGCTATTACCAGGTTCCTTTTACTCCCCCAGGAGGCAGCTTATCAGCTGACCAGGCAAGAAAAACAAAGGGGAAAAACGTATGTGACAACTTTAATGAGGGGCTTATTATAACAGTTTTTGTATCAAACTACCGACCATACACGGGACAGCTTACAAGAATATAACTCCTCATATTATGTTTCTGGAGGCTGGCAGCCTACAATCAAAAAGATGGCAAGCTGTTCTAATGCTGGAGGCTTTAGAAAAAAATACCTGCTTCTCTTGCAGATGTATTGTGGTTACCAGCAATGCTTAGCAGTCTTTGGTTTATGGTGGCCTATCTGAGTCAATGCCTATGTCTTCATAGGGCCATCTGAGCTTGGTGTCTGATGGTCCTCATTCCCTCTTCTAAGAATGTTCATCATTGAATTGGAACAGTTGTTTGGTTTGATCTCAGCATTCTTCCTCTTGTTAAGATGCTCCTTCTGTATAAGGTTGTATTCCTAGGCACCAGGGATTAGAATTGCAACAAATATTTTTGCAAAGATACAATTCACCTCATAATAGGTTCAGAGCAATGGTTCAATACTCATTGGTGAAAACTGGGCAAAATAGAAAGTTAATTACATTTTCGTGACCTAAAGTTTTCTAGTTTTATTTATACATTATTAAACTAGAAAAAAAATGTACATACCTGCAGCGTGCTCCTCAGCCAGCGAGGAAGAACGACCACCACGTGAGGATTCTTCTCAGATCACACTTTATTGGAGTGCCTCTTGGTTAAGGGAGAGCGCGAGGTGAGGGGCCCCAAGGACTAAACTGCCGCTGCTTATATAGGGAATCAGGCAAACGTGCCGTACTGTGATTGGGTCCCGCCAGAATGCTAGCACGGGGAGCCATGGGATAGGCTGAGGACATAAGGTCGATTACCATACCCGTGCATGCACAGGTCACAGGACACGTAGTCCCGAGAGCATAGCCAAATATGGAGTTGTTTACAGCTAGGCTACCAGGAAGCCAACGCCATCTTAGAATGGCGCCTCCCTACACATACCCATTAGATGGGTGGGAAAAAAATCTAAGTGTTCATATTTAGATTCAACTAATACATTTTCCAAGACAAATCTAGCACTGTTCTAGGTTGTTTCATATGTTAGGATTTCCTTTCCAGTCCCAGGTACTATGCAAAAAATACCAGACAAGTTGAAATGAGAGGCCTTAGCTGCAGATAAGAGAGAAGAGATGACAAGAGAGTGGTCTATGTGAATGCTCATGTGTTGTCTACAAACTGTGAGCAGATTCATCTACAGAAGTGTGGGAACAACTGTCCACATGTAGAGCTTAACTAAGAGTGAAGGAACATCAGAATGGACAATTCTATTATAACCCACTCTCTAAAGTTTCTACTCTGTGATTAGGAGAGTCCTGGAAAGGTGCAGGAATGTGTAATGTAGATTTGTACTCAAATGTCAAGATCAATACATAAAGTGCTTTTCATAAGGCCATTCAAATGTACACAGCAGTATAGAGACTCAGTTCCATTGTGGTTCTTTTTGATGCTGAAGTATAGCCTCTCTTTGTGACTTACTCTTTGAGAGAGTGTGTTAAGGGTATCAACCTCCAGGTGGAAAAATTCTTCAGGACTCATGGAACTCAATATAGCCATAATTTGTATGTATAATATCTTATGGTAAAAGGAAATATATTAAAATAGACACCTGAAAAGGTACCCTTGGAGTATCTATGAGGGAGCTGGTGTAAGTGCCCTCTTCCAATAGAGCTTGATGGACAGCCTAATTCTCTGGCAAGAGTGTAACTACCAGTTAGGTAATTTCACCTGAATTTGATGTTAAGGGTATTTTTGTCCTAATTCTATTATTGTAATTATTTTTATTAATGCAGTACAGTGTGGAATTCAATACATGTATATGATAAATAATGATTAAATAAGAATGCATAACACTCCTATATTCTTAAAAATTAAAAAATAGTATGAAAGACAAATACTCCCAGTTCCCATTTATTTGTGGATGCTTAAAGTGTCAATTTCAATATAGAATAGCTATTAGTAGCAAGTGACAGAGGAAGCAGGGGGGAAAAAAGGAGGAGGAAAGTTGGATAATAGACCCAAAGCACAGCAGCATAGGAGCTCGGCTGTTTCTCCACACAGTGGACTGACTGCAAATTCACAAGAACTTACATGTCTTAGAATTTCAGAGGCTCCAAACACAATGTGATTATGAAGGTATAGATATATCAATTACCATGATTTGATCACCCCAAATTCCATACGTGCATTCAAATATCACAGGGTCTACCACAAGTAGGTTCAGATAAATTTTGGGGGAGATGATCAGCTTCGTAACCATGAAGTGCTTCCCGTGGCTAATCCTTCACTCCACATCCATCCTCCTCAGAAGTCAAACTCACACCTCGAGGTTCAAATCTTGCACCAAAACTCACACTACTAGCTTTGATCATCTGGCACTGCCCAAATCCCCAGCCAATGAAAGATCCTCTTATCCAGCAGAATATTCCAAGGGTTTAAAGGCTTATATCCCAGAGCCTATCAAGAGACAGACTATTCCTTAAAACCTGCAAACATCCACTGCCCCGGATTTGCCTAGTCAGCTTCTCTTTTGCACATGGAACAACATGTGTTCCCACTCCTAAGAATCTAAATTAAATGTACAACATCGTGCTGCTGTCATGTCTGCTTCACCCAAGGAGGCAGTGTAATCTCTGCTGGTGATTGTCTTCAACAAGCTCTACATAGCAAGGCTCCAATCTCATGGCTGGAAGCTGGAGAATGGATGTTTGTCTGTGTGGGAAGCTTTAGCCTCCAGGAGAAGAGAGCGATTAAGAACAGAAGAAACACATGCACATATTAAACCCACCACAGAACAGGATTCCTTTCTGCTCTGACAATCTTTAATTGAAGAGCGCGGCATTCATTTTAAAGTGTGACAGGTGAAAGGCTTGTTTAAAAGTATAAATAAACATTAATTAGCTATAAACATGACAGCCGCAGACTTGTTTCCTGCTGGGACCATCTGAGAGGTGGGTGAGAAACAGCTGAGTACTAACTGCTATTCACAGTGTTCCAGAGCTCTCTAATTGGCTGGATGCCACCTTTTAGTTACCTCCAGGGCTATATTGAGCCCTTCTCCCAGCAGCTTCATCACCGCCGTTCACTTGGACTGGTCCTGTCCATACAGGGAAGAGTCTCTCCTTGTCCACACTGATTTTTAAGTTCTGTGGCTGGAGATGAACGCCAACTCTGCCTAATTTCTGGGTCTTATAAAAACTGTTTTGAAAGCAGTGGAAAAGCAGTCTGTGATGGCTGGGGAGATCCACCTATTATAGATGTTTCTCAGGTATTTGACTCTTGGTCAAATTAATGTGAGTTACAAGGACCAATGATATGTAAGGCAGAGATGAAAATCACTGCCCTGCTTCTTTTGAGGATTGCCAAAAAGCAGGCGATACACCCCTGTTCTTCATTTCCTTCATCCATCCACATTCCCAACAATCTGGATAGTCATCTCTTTCTTTGTATATTAATTTATAGCATGAAATTGTAATGACTGTGGTAGGCACTAAGGATGCAAAGCCAATATACACATTGTATTTTGTTTCTTAGTTTTTAAAAACTTTAATAGTCATACATGTATATAGTGTGTTTGAACAAATCCAGCCCTGTTATCTCTCCTCTAATTCCTCTCTTATACCACCCCCATATTTCTTTTCCAATACCATGTGTTTTAAAATATACTCTAATACCCACAGCATTTATTTACTGATGCATGTATGTATATGAGCGGCCTTCCAGGGCCTGCATCCCTAAAGAAAAGTGATTTTTCCTTGACAAGCAGTCATCAGTTGCTAATAGGTTTGTAGCTATCACCAGTTGCTAATGGGGCCTCATCATCCCCTGCCCCATCCATTTTTCCCCCAATGATCCCCCAGCCCTGAGGGGAAAGGGCATGTTATAGATGTCCCATTTAAAACTGAATACTCTACAATCTTATTTTCTGCACATTGGCTGTTTGTAGATCTCTGTATTAATCACCACATACCATAAAAAGAAGCTTCTATGATGAAGGTTGAGAAATACATTTATCTATGGGCATAAAGATAAGAACTCAGGTATAGGTTTCTTACTATGTCCATTTAGCAGAATAAAATATCACCCTTAGATTTGAGTTCACAGTTGACTAAGTTAGGAGGTAGAATTAGTTCTTAAAAGAGACAACGTGACATAAAGTTATAAAAATGGTAACAGAGGCCTGTGTAAAGCTTTGCTGGGGCATTTGTGATGCAGATGAAGAGTTGATATGGGATCATGGAATGACTAGGTATTGATACCACTTCAGCTGTGTTGGAAGGGTAAGCTGGTGGGGTTCCATTCTTAGGCTCTTACAGACCTTCTGGTATCCGTTTCCCATGTTATTGAACCCAGAATGGCTATTCTTGTTTGTTAAAGAGTTCAGATGGTGGACTCAAAAGACCAGACATATTGTAAATTTTTAAGCATATTTGTGTACTGAAATATTGTTCAGTAATTGTCCTAGATGACTATGCTAAACACCTAGATCAAAAACAACTTGGAGAGGAAAGGGTTTATTTCAACTTACACTTCCAGGTCACATTTCATCATCGAAGAAAGTCAGAGAAAAAACTTGAGGGAGTAACTCAAGCAGAAACTATGGAAGAATGAATGCTGTTGACAGGCTTGTTCTCTGGATCATGCTCACCTTTCTTTCTTATATAGCCCAGGCCCATTGGCCTAAGGATGGTGCTGTCCAGAGTAGACTGAGCCCCCCTACATCAGTCATCAATTAAGGCATTTTTTTTCACAGATATGACCTCTGCTAAAAGGTAGTTCTTAAATGAAAGTTCTCTTCCCAAGTAACTCTATGTTCTGTCAAGTTGACAATAAAAACTAACCAGTGCAGTAATCAAAACTACACCCCCATAAGAAAATCCAATTAACTA